TTTTTAACCGAGCAATAACCGTTTGAGACGCAAGATGGCGCCAAATTTTGAAACGCGTGACGCAAGATGCGTGACGTAGGCAAAAACATTTCTTAAGATTGAAAGTTCACAGTTTTTTTTTTATATATTTGTTCAAATGTAGTTATTGTAATGGTATCATTGAAAAATTAATCGACGTGCGCTGATTATTCAGGCATATTTGACCATTTAATGACGTGATCGACCAATCAGAATGAAGTATTCTAGAGCGAGAGTACTAGAAAAAAACTAATAAAAATAAATAAGATTTAAAAATAATTATTTTTACTAAAATAATTTAAAAAATGTATAAATAAATAAATAATGCTGTACAATACTATAGTAGAAAAAAAAACTTTAACTTAATTTAAATACATTTTATAGTATTAATTTTAGTCTTTAAACATATAGCTGACTTTTAAAAATTCAATAAACACAATAATTAAATTTTATAATCTAAATAAAATACAGAGATTCCAAAATAATCTGAAAAGTTTTAAAAAGCTGCAGAATTAGGTTTTTTCTTTCATACAGTGACTGACATTAAAACATTTCAAGTGACTTTAGTGAACAAATACTTTGTGTGGCCACTATCTAAATGATCAACATGTAAACTATGATGTAATATTGAATGGAAGTTATTGAAAGGTTTGAATCTGGTAGAGAGGATCGTGAGGTTTGTCCATTGTTTGGACAAACAGTACTGTGAAAGTCAATGGGACCCAAAACCATCTGCTTCCCAACATATCTTTTTCTTATCTGTTCCAAAGCCATTTCCCCCCACACTGCAAACAATCATTATCTCCGTCTCTTTTTCTTGTTACTAGCTACTGTAAAACCTGAAAAAAGCACTAAAATAGGGATTTCCTCGCGGTGCAAACATTGTGCCGATGTAAAAGCTCTCAGGTACAAGGACGTGTGTTCACCCTCAGTGCTTGTGCTCAGAAATCATTCATTCATTAGTGTATCTGAACCTTTGGTGGGGCTGGATTGAATTAGAGAGTGCAATACATTCACCGGTCAGCCGGATCTACAGGTCATTTAAAACACAGTAGTGCAGTTTTAGGGTGAACAGACGTTCTTGCGTTCGGTGAGATGCTTGTGTGTTTACAAATGATTTAATAAACGAGTAGACACTAATGCTGAAGACTGTTGAGCGTTCAGGACGAATGATCATGTCGGGATGGTTTTCCACACACAGGCTGTGTTTAGAATTGAATACTTACTGTACAGTATACACTGCTTACTGTTTTTAACAAATATTGCTCAAATCAGTGCTAAACAGTAGCATGCTGCATTGCATGCTTAATTTAAGTCTGATAAATTTGCATTTTTTGCAAATGTAGTCAGTAATGTGGGTATTCATATAGATCATATGCACACTGTGCATAGTGTATATACTGCAGAAATAGTTACAGTAGTATGATATTCTGAACATAGCCACATATGTAATTTTTTTGTTTAACTTACCACATTGATTCCACCACATCAATCAAGCCACAAACTGTTTCTTATTGGATAAAAATTTGATTATTTTTGCTGGGATATTAAAAATAGTTACTAAAAATAGTAGCACCAATGGACATTTTTCATGTGTGTGTGGACAAACCGTCCCTGTGCATTGAAATTATGCAAATGTATCTCAAGTCTGATTTTCCTGTCTGTAATTTAAGGTTCGTTAAATCAAGATCTAGCAAAAACGAAACGTTAAATATCACTGCTGGGCTATGCATAGAAATCATTCCAGTTTGTTGAAAAGGAGAACATATGAACACAACCCTCCACAACAGTGGACTGTAATTCTGCCGTTTGTTGTAATAATTCGAAAGATAATAAAGCCCCTGTTGCTGATAGTTGGCGTTGTGGCATGACCACACAGTTTTAACTGTACCGTATATCAACAATATGTTTCTGTCTTCAACATGCACACCAAACCTTCCCAGAATCCACTCGGGAGTCTTAGTAAAACCCACTAACCAGAAAAGATTTACCGTTATTTAAGAGTCTGTCATGGACATACTGTATCTTAAGTGTGTGTCAAATTGTGCTTCCACTGTTTAGAGACTAGTCCACATGTATGATTATTGAATATTAAATTATTATGGGTAAATAAACCGGGCCTCTTTCTGTGTTTGGACAGAAAGGTGTTACAATACTGAGTGTGTAACGGTGAGTGAATGCGTGTAACGTGTCTCTGCTTGGACGGGTTTGTCATCATTAAAGTTCAGTGTACCAAAATGTTGTTTTTGTGTCGTTTTTCTTGTCTTCAGAGAACACAAGTCAAGTATGAAATGAAATGCAGAGTGTAGTTTTCTTTCCTGTGCTGATGTATTTCTATGGAAGGTCATTGCTGCCACAAAAGAAAAAAAAATAATGTTTTGGTAAACCACAATTATGACCTAAAAAGTCTCAATTATTACATAAAAAGTTGCAATTATGACAATCATAATTATGAGGTGCATCAAAATTATACTGGCAACTTAACTTTTTATCTCATAATTATGACTCGGTGTGTCAATTTTGACTTTTAACTTTTAATCATGCCTTTTTTTATCTAATAACTACGACTTGATATTTTTTTCATGACTATTTAACTCAATTATGAGAATCAAAATTGACATATTGAGTCATAATTATGAAATAAAAGATCAGAATTATGACATACTAAGTCATAATTATGAAATAGGTCAAAATTATGACATAAAAAGGCAAAACAGTTGTCATTATGTTCACTTGTCTTAATGACTTGTCATAATTACATTAAAAAACTAAATTATGGCAAAATAATAATTATGAGATACCAAGTCACAATTGTGAGATTATAGATAAATTATAGACCAATAGAATTATAGATCTAAAATTATGACTTAAGCTATAATTGAGATAAACATTAAAAAATTGATTGAGGTTGTCAAAATTGACATATCAAGTCATAATTATGAGATGTCAAAATTGACAAATCAAATCATAACTGAAGAAACAAGTCAAAATTGACATACTAAGTCATAATTATGACAATTATGATAAAAAGTTAAAATTATGACATCAGTCATAATTATGAGTCAGAATTCAGTCATAATCTAAATTATTTCAAAATCTAAATTAACTAGTCATAATTATGGGATGGTAAGTTATAATTAATAACCAAAATGGTAAATTATAATTATGAAATCAAGAGATTATGAGATCAAGTCATAATTATGGGATTAAAAAAAATCTAAATTATGATACTAAATCACAATAATGAGATTAATTATAAAAGTCAATTATGACAAAAGGAAAAACTGTCAATTAGTATATAAATGTAAACTTTTATGTCATAATTACGACATTGTTACTTAGAATTTACCAAAGCATGCATCTCATGTGGAAACATTCAACGTAGTCTCTCAGTGAGGTCATTAAAACAAAGCTGATTACAAGAGTTTTAGCAGTGCATTAACATTATATACAACTAATACTAGAAACCATGCATTGCATCTCAACCTCAACAGAGACTGAAATCATATTCAATTCCCAAATCATGAACTTCAGACATAATATGGGCTTCATTTTGCTCAATCAGGTTTATTTAGGAGGAAAATCATCACTCGAACTACTCATTATTCCTTCATTGTGTTCCATCAGTCTAGAGTAAAACAGATTAGTGCAATTATCCCAAATAAATAGAATTCTCCTTTAGTTCAGCCGCAGTATGAAACCACACAAACATCCCGTCCTCTCTTCGCACTGAGTCTTCAGCAGGCAAACGCAAGCCTTCCCCCAGTCAATATACAGTATGATACACAGTTACACTATTTACACGTCTGTTACATGAACAAGCAAAACAATCAATGTCTGATTAAAGCCCACGCCCAAAACAATCACTGGAAAATATATTCATACATGGAGAGCGCAGATAGAAATGATGCAGAAGCTCGACACTCACAAAAGTGCAGCAGGGTGAAACACATTATTCAGATGTAAACTCGATCCACACGCCTTCCAGCTATAACCACATACATGAGTTCAATTCTTCAGGTGAATACAGATACGGCAACACTTTCTATGAAGCCTGCGTGTAAATACAATGCATTAGAGAGCAATGCACAATGCATTCTACTTCAGAATTGGTTGAATGTTTTTGTAAGTACCTGTAGATTAATATGCATTCACTTCTAAAGAGCATAATGCATGCAAAATGCATCACACTCTTTAAAGGTGTAGCTGCGATTACATTTATTTACAAAAACATACAATTGCAAGACATGAGGAAGAGCTTTATCTTCACAGAAAGTGTTGCCAAATCTGATGGTGGAGGATGTTTATGAATGAAATCACCGTTCAATATATCTTCATATATTCTCTAGTATATGTCCAGCTCTCATAAACGCTCTATCATTCACTCCACATACACACGCCACTCCAAACTCTCAGCTGACGGACACTAGCGTCATAAAGTTAGCCGCAAACAATCGCCAACATCTCGAAAGCTTCGACGTCACGCAGTCTACAAAAAACAGGTGCTCGTGTGTTTTTAGGGAAGAAATTATAACTACATCTTTCAATAAATCCCAATTAGAAAAGCAAAACAACTCGGTTTTAAACTTCTTGTGTCCACCGAACACTCTCGGCTCGATTCTAACCTACAATGTGATGCATAAAGCATCGAATCCGATCGAATGATTCATCAATAAATGTTTAATTCCGATTCATTTCCTTCTCAGTAATCTGCCCTACATAAACACTTCATTATCTGATGCTCTCAGAAAACACTTCATCGTCTCGGTCCAGACCTGCTTTATCATATCAGTATTACTCATTACTGTACCCTAGTTAGTGTGCGAGTTCATTACATAAGGAGTTCACGATCTGAATCATACTGATATGAATCACTGATGTGTCACCTGTCTATTGCACTTGTTTGATAAAGTGAAAGAGGACAAATGGGAGAGGGACAAGACACAGAGCAGCAAAAACTGATATTCTTATGGATTAACTGGTTTACAGACAAACCGAGCGTAACCGGAAAGCTTCAGAAGTCATCAAATTTCTCTTATTCGCTGTAGAAACCAGAGAAACAAAGAGGGAAAACCCATTTAATACGTGTGTCCTTTTCGCCAGAAGCCAAGCAGGAAAGATTCGGGTTTCCTACAGAGACGGACGCTGTCAGACCACCAGGATCTTGACCTCGTCTTGTTCGTCGGGCCGGTAGAAGAACGGGATGCAGGGGTTTTCTCCCAGGAAGGGAGCGGGTCTGGCCTGAGGGTTCTGGATCTCCTGCAGGAGCTGCATGATCTGGCGGGCCGTGCCGTCCGGTGCGGATCCAGGCCTCTCTGGACTCTGGGATTGAGTCTGTGGGTCTGTGCTGGACTGAGGCGCTGTAGACGCCTCCTCCGCTGCGCTCAGCTCCAGAACGGCTGAGTGAAGATTTTAGGAAAACAACACAGAACATACAATCAGCTGGTCATACAATTTGAATATTAGAGTAAATGATATTTTGTCTAATCTGATGATGCAAAAACTGTCTGTAGATTCCATCAGAGCTCGAATGACAACATTCTTGAATTATTTAGAGCTATAAGAGTTAAAGTTGAATTAAATGCCAGGTACAGCCAAAACACAAATAATAATAACCAGACAAAAAATAATAAGGTGGGACTTTAACAAAACAGAAGACAGAAAATGTCACGCATGGATTCCAGGAACATTTTTAAGTGATTTATCAAATGGTTTTAGGATTTGCACGCTTTCTGACTAATGCATTTCCATGTTTTCTTTTGTTTTCTCCAGTCGGATTGACTGGGAAAGAAAAAAATTTAACAATCACACTCAAAGGTATTTCTTGCTGAAGAAATAGTTTAAAACTGAGCATAAGCAGAAAAGATTATATTGACTATATTGTATTGACTTTTCCTTTTATACTATAAATGAATGTATTAAAATAATATTGCTATTATTAAAACTGAGCATAAGAAAAATGTATACTGAGTACAGAGTATTGGACTTTTCCTTGTATATTTTAAATATATGAAAATATGCTATTAATAAAATTAATTATTATTAATATCATTAATTAAAAACAAATAGTTTAAAAATGAGCATAACTAGGACAATTTATATTGACTGTAGAAAGACTTTTTTTACTTTTATATTTTCAATGAATACAATATTGTTTTAGTAGTATTAATTATTACTTATTAGTATGACTGCTATTAATTAAAGAGAAATCGTTTTAAACTGAGCATAACAAGAAACATTTAAACTGACTATAGAAAATTTCAAGACTTTTCCTTTTAGTGCTAATTAATATATTTAAAAAGAATTGTTGCTATTAATAGTATTAATGATTTTTATCAATAATAGTACTATTACTATAGTACTTGATATTGTCTATAAATTTTTTTACAACTTTTCCAGACCTCAAATCACACTTCTGAAAGTGTAGCCGCCTGTAGCTGAACTGGTTCACTGAATCGACTCATCTGAGTGAACTGAATCGGTATGAGTTTGTGTGAGTGAGACTGTGCTGTAGCACCTGGGCTTTCCGTGTGTCCGTCAGCAGGATGGAGGCGTTCTCCTCCGGAGGACAGGAGGTCAGGGTTACCAACGGCGCTCATGTACCTGCTGTACCACTCGTTACGCTCGCCCACCAGACGCATGACCAGATCCTGCAGCTCCGCTAGCTTCGCCTGAACACACACACACACACACACACACACACACACACACACAGGTCAACATCACTCCATCTAGACATGTGCCGATATTCAGTAATGCGATATATCAGGATAATGAATATGCACAACACTGTTATCTTGGGCACTTACAAATTATTCAGAATTTTGAATGCATTTTAAGAATAGTTTTCCCATCAGCTGGTCACCCGTAGGTTTCCGAAGAGCGTTTTTGAAGCCTAAAGTAGGCGGAGCCGGCCATCGCCATCTTGGCAGCGCGTCAACATGTTTTTTTCTGCTGTAAAGTTGGGCATTTTAACATGGGGAGTCTATGGGATTGACTCCCTTTCAGGGCCAGCCTCTAGCGGCCAGTTGATGAATTACAGTTTAAGTCACTTCCGTGTTGGCTTCACGAGAGAGAGCGGGAGGTTGCCGCGTGGTCACGATGCACAACACCGCTCAACATGCGCACTCAAACGCATGAGAAGAGCATGGCGGAGCACGTGAAGGAGAATGATAGCACATTCACTCTCTGACAGCAGATGGCGCTAAACAGCAGAAATGCAGCCGTTACCCCGGAAACCCCGTAAAGGAAGCAGCTGAGCTACTTTGTTTCTGAAAGGTGTTTAAATGATTTAAATAGCCATTCAGATTCACTATGGTGTTCATCACAGCGCCAAATACTTAAATATTTAGACTTAATAGGCTATTTATATTCAATCTTTTTTTACATTTGTGACCCTGGAGCACAAAACCAGTCTTAAGTGTCAATGTTTAGGAATTGAGATTTATACATCATCTGAAAGCTGAATAAATAAGCTTGTTAGGATAGGACAATATTTGGCTGAGATACAACTATTTGAAAATCTGGAATCTGAGGGTGCAAAAAAATCTAAATATTGAGAAAATCATCTTTAAAGTTGTCCAAATGAAGTTCTTAGCAATGCATATTACTAATCAAAAATTAAGTTTTGATATATTTACGGTAGGAAATGTACAAAATATCTTCATGGAACATGATCTTTACTTAATATCCTAATGATTTTTGGCATAAAAGAAAAATCAATAATTTTGACACATACAATGTATTGTTGGCTATTGCTACAAATATACCCCAGCGACTTAACACTGCTTTTGTGCTCCAGGGTCACATTTTAATCTGGACTACAACATGCCCTAGATATTGCGTGAAAGTGTTTTGATTCTTTATTGTTCGGTCACACTTTGCATTAGGGCTTCATTAGTTAACTCATTAGTTAACAAAAACTGCCAATGAAAAATTCTTCTAAACATTCATTAATCTTAGGTATTCCAATATTTAATAACACGTTTTTAAAATCAAAAGTTGCAACTGTGTTGCTAACATGAACAGAGTTGTATTTTTCAACAAAGATTAATAACTTCTGTAGTAAATGTAGCCATCGCTCATTGTGAATGTTAATGCATTAACTAAGATTAACTAATGAGATCTTATTGCAAAGTGATACCTATTGGTCTTTATAGTTGTTTAGCACTTTAACTGGTGTAAAATTTGTAACTTTTTTGTGTATTGCTTTATTGTATTTAAATGTTCAGTTATTTTCGTTATAAGAAAGACGTTATTAAACCTGATATACTGTATTATGACAACACTTTTTTGCAACTAAATTTCAATACCGTGATAATAACTTTGAAAATTTGATACCGGCATATCCCTAACTCCTCGTACCTTCATCTCCTCCTTGTCTTTGGCCAGCATGCTGATGTACTGCTCCTTCTCATAGTGTCTTTGTTTCATGATGGCTCTTTGGTTCTGATACAGCGCGATGTATTCACCTACACACACAACACAACAAACACATCCGTAAACAAAAACTCCCGATGCGACAGCGTCAGATTTGCTACATCTCTCATCACTGAATTGAACAACAAATTTTAAGTGCAAAGGAACAAAGAACAACAATAAAGAAACAGATAATTTTCAACCAATATCTAGATATGCAAAGTGATACCTATTGGTCTTTATAGTTGTTTAGCACTTTAATCGGTGTAAAATTTGTAACTTTTTTGTGTATTGCTTTATTGTATTTAAATGTTCAGTTATTTTCGTTATAAGAAAGACGTTATTAAACCTGATATACTGTATTATGACAACACTTTTTTGCAACTAAATTTCAATACCGTGATAATAACTTTGAAAATTTGATACCGGCATATCCCTAACTCCTCGTACCTTCATCTCCTCCTTGTCTTTGGCCAGCATGCTGATGTACTGCTCCTTCTCATAGTGTCTTTGTTTCATGATGGCTCTTTGGTTCTGATACAGCGCGATGTATTCACCTACACACACAACACAACAAACACATCCGTAAACAAAAACTCCCGATGCGACAGCGTCAGATTTGCTACATCTCTCATCACTGAATTGAACACAACAAATTTTAAGTGCAAAGGAACAAAGAACAACAATAAAGAAACAGATCATTTTCAACCAATATCTAGATATCTTCTCTGGGCTGGCTTGAGTTAGTTTGTGTAAACAAGTGCAAAGTAAAGATAAAGTCTTTATAGAAGTATTTGAAGTTGTTTGATGGAAAAGAAGCTAAAGTGCATTTAATTTATAATAAGATATCTACAAATATTTATTGTGTTGTGAATGTGAAGTGATAATACTATGCATTATCTGCGATATATCCAACATATTACTAAATACGGGCACATTATTAATTAATCAGAAAATAAGCATAAGTAGAAAAATTTATATTGATTATAGCAGTAGCAATTTTCCCTTTTAAAACGTTTATATTAAATATTAATAGCATTAATTATTATTACTTATTAATATTAATACTATTAAATAGAACATTTAAAACTGAGCACAAGTAGAAACATTCATACTGACTATATAGTATTACCTGTGTTTTATTGAATTAATTCATTCATTCATTTATTAATATTTTTAAACCAATATTGCTATTAATAGTATTATTTTACTTAAGTAATAAGTTTAAAACATAGTAGTATAAAGATTGATATTGACTATAGATTGTTGGATTTTTTTTTTTACTTTTTGAATTGATATTATAAAAATAATTGCTATTAATAGTATTTATTACTATTACGTATTATTAATTAAATAGAAATATCATAACTAGACAAACTTATATATAGACATGACAATAGTATAATTGTGAGCCTGGAGCACAAAAGCAGTCTTAAGTCGCTGGGGTATTTGTAGCAATAGCCAACAATACATTTTTCTTTTATGCCAAAAATCATTAGAATATTAAGTAAAGATCATGTTCCATGAAGATATTTAGTAAATTTCCTACCGTAAATATATCAAAACTTAATTTTTGATTAGTAATATGCATTGCTAAGAACTTAATTTGGACAACTTTAAAGATGATTTTCTCAATATTTAGATTTTTTTGCACCCTCAGATTCCAGATTTTCAAATAGTTGTATCTCAGCCAGATATTATCCTATCCTAACCGTACATCAATGGAAAGATTATTTATTCAGCTTTCAGATGATGCATACATCTCAATTTCAAAAAATTGTCCCTTATGGACTGGTTTTGTGCTCCAGGGTCACAAATGAGAAATAAAGCATTTGTTAAGCAGGTAGAAACCTCCTGCGCTTCATGTATTTGGACACACAGTGGCAGAAGTGCTTGACGAGTCGTCCCTGTGTGTGCAGCAGCGGTGTCTCACCGATGGTGTCTGTTTCTCCTGACAGCTGAATGCAGTGGTGCTCCAGCTCCTCCAGTCGCTCCCTCAGATCCACCTTCTCCTGCATGAGCGCCGTGAAACGCTCCTGGAGTTTCTCCATGGCCAGCCGCAGAGCCTTGTGCACCTCCACCGGGACCCCGTCAGAGCCTCCTACAAAAGGTACAGTAATCGTTAGAGAGTAAAATAATAAATGTGACCCTGGAGTCTTAAGTCGCTGGGGTATATTTGTAGCAATAGCCAACAATACATTGTATGGGTCAAAATTATAGATTTTTCTTTTATGCTAAAAATCATTAAGATATTTATTTATTCAGATTTCAGATGATGTATACATCTCAATTTTGAAAAATTGACACTTAAGACTGGTTTTGTGTGACCATTTAGATAAGCTACACCAACGGCCAAAAGTTCGAGATTTTTTTATGCTGTTTCATGTTTTCTTCTTTTATTGGCAATGTTGAAATTAACAAATTATTATCAATATTTTTGCTGCTTAATATTTTTGTGGAAACTGTGATACATTTGTTTTTCAGGATTCTTTGACAAACATATACTTCAAAAGACTACATTTATTTGAAATGGAAATCTTTTGTAACATTATAATTGTCTTTAATGTTACTTTTGATCAATGCAAAAAATATATTAATTTCTTTGTTTTTAGTGTAGTTTATCATGGGTTCCACAGAAATATCGTGCAGCACAACTGTTTTCAACATTGATAATAATCAGAAATGTTTCTTGAGCAGCAAATCAGCATATTAGAATGATTTCTGAAGATCATGTGACACTGAAGACTGGAGTAATGATGCTGAAAATACAGCTGCGCATCACAGAAATAAATTACAGTTTAACAGATATTCACATAGAAAACAACTGTTTTAAATTAGAATAATATTTAGCAATTTTTACTGTATTTTTAATTAAATAAATACAGCCTTGATGAGCAGAAGAGACAGAAGAGAAAAGATTTTCAAACTTAAATGTCTTAAAAAGTTTATTAAAAGCAAAAATAGAATAGTCTGTGTGATTTGAGTGCAGTGAAGCTC